TTTTATTGTTGACTCACTGCTTTTCTTTCCATTTTAACCTTTAAGCTGTTTTTACAAAACAGTATGGAGGATTGAACTCTGGGTCTTACACATTCTATGCCAGCACTATGAATGAATTACATCCCCACACCTTTTTAATTTTGGGAGATGGTCTCACTGAGTTGCTCACACTAGCCTTGTATTTGGAAAGCTCCTGCCTTTGAGTGTTTGAGTAGTTGGTATTACAGGACTGAATCATCACACCTTTAAATTTTTAAAGTTGGAATCATCCATATGAGGGTGGAAGATTATACTTTCCAGCACATGTGTACAAACTCAGATTTTAGGTTTTTGTTTGGAGTGTTTAAAAGCTTACCAAATTGCAAAAATTCTGTGTTTTTCCCCTTACTAATAGGTTCTAATAGTGTTTCCCTGAACTAAATGTGAAATAAAAATTGCTATAGTTTATTTTTGCTGATATATTTAAAAGAAGCACTACCTATAGAGATTGAATTCATATGTAGTTCTTGACATGTCTTTTAATTTTTTTAAAAAAACAATATTCTGGTTTCTAGCTTAATTCACTTAATAGTTGAGTCCCTTTGTGTTCCAGGTACTGTATTAAGTACGAAGAACATAGCAGTGAATAGAATTGGTAGTCTTCCCCTTATGGAGCCAAAGGATGGTGGAGAATTACCCAAAATTTGTAAATTTTGAGAGTAATCTAACATAGTAGTACGATGCAGAATAAACAGGACTGTGTGATGGGAGAAGAACAGGTTGTTGTGGTTAGGGAATTTTCTCTTAAGAATTGTTTTTTAGGTGGAAACAATTTGAAAAGGCCACTGTAACTTTTTTCCTTTCCTGTCCCCTGTCCTTTAATTGGATCTTCATACTTAGCTATCCCTGAACTCGGGACCTTGTGCTTGCCAGGCAGGCACTTATGCCATTGAGCTATCTCCCAGCCTTGATCTAGTTTTTTTTAATTTAATCTTTTTTAAAAAAAATTATTTATTTATTTATTTTGTGTGTGTGTGTGGCCAGTTCAGCCCACCAGGGGGCGGGGCTGGCTGGCAT